TCCAGATCACAGACAGCTGTCCGATTCAGGTACAGATTTTAAGTATTTTACCCTTTACCCTATTAAAAAAACGTTCTAAATGAGAACTTAATTGAACGAGAAAAAATCGCGAATCATGTCTTTCGTACGATATTATCCATTATATTCATTATACAACTAAATAAATAGATGATTGCACGAACATTTCCAAAATTATGTTATATAAATTTCATTAATTATAATTTTTTCCTTTATTACTGACATATAACATAAATTAATGTATAATACTTATACAAGTATAATGTGGGAGGTTTAAAGGCCGACAAACAGCTGTGGTAATCGCCGGCCCTCTGCTAGTTTTTCTTCTTTTTCTGGACTTTCACTTGTTTATTTATTTTAACCCTTCATGGCCAAATGTTGCCATTAGAAATTTATTTAAAAGATTTGTGAGAAATCCGATAAGTTTTGCGAGTTGATTGGCGCCAAATAAATCAGTGTTGCCGTTACAGGGGTAGAAACAGAGCAGAGAGAACACTACACCCGCGACAAACAGCTGAGGTAATTGCCTGCCCTTTGCGTGTCTTCTTTCTTTTTCTGGTCTTTCACTTGTTTATATATTTTAACCCTTCATGACCAAATGTTGCCTTATAGCAAGACGATCTTTTGAAATGTATTTAAAAGATGAGCGTGAAATCCGGTAAGTGCTATGAGTTGATTGGCGCCAAATAAATCAGTGTTGCCATTACAGGCGCAGAAACAGAGCAGGGACAACACTGCACCCGCTTTAAATTTACGGGATTTCCTGCTAACCTTAAACAAAATTGCTAATATTGGCATTGTTCTGATGCAACTTTCGGCATGAAAGGGTTAAATTGGATAAAATTTTATGTTTACCAAATATAACAATCAATACAAGATGTAGTGGTGGGGTGAAGAGCCATGCTGGCGATTGAAGATTCCACGATGGAGATTTTACGTTTTGCGCCAAAAAAAACCCGTGTTGCCAATACACGGGCAGAAACAATGCAAGAACAACACTGTGCCCGTCCTAAATTCACAGGAGATCCTGCTAACCTTAAACAAAATTGCTAATGTTGGCATTGCTCTGAAGCAACATTGGGCAAGAAAGAGCTAATTGGATCGAATTTAAACTGCGTATAAAAAGTTTTATGTTTGCCAAATATAACAATCAATACAAGATGGACTGATGGCTTTTCGCCCCGTAAGAGGACCAGAATTGACCAGAACACACCGAGTTGCAAGATTCGCATGTGCTCGAGTACACAGCTATTGGTCTTTGGTTCTGCTGTAGTTTTTACAGATGAGTGTACATTTGCTCTACGATCTCCCGATGGGTGTGGAGAAGGCGAAATTAAAAGTACGAAGCCTGTAATTTTTTTTAAAAAGATAGTTCCTACTCACAGTAAGTTGTTTTGCAACGATCCGGATTTCGGGCCTTTTAGCTCATCATCAGGTTGTAGAAGTCCTTCAACCTGATGATGAGCTAAAAGGCTCGAAATCCGGATCGTTGCAAAACAACTTACTGTGAATAGGAACTATCTTCTTAAAAAGGATTGAACACCACACTCACTCCATCATTTATCATTTCTATTAATAAGCCTGTAATTTTCCTCTCAGCCAACCTTTGCGACTTAGCTCAGTGATGGTGTGGGCGGGAATTTCAGAGGAGAGTCACATTGATTTGGTTGTGGTTCGCGGATGGTCTTTGACGGCCGCTATGTGGACGAAATTTCGAAACATCGTGCGTTGCCTATCCTCGATGGAATCAGCGACAATCCTTTTCTAATGCACGATAAAGCCCGTCCACATGTCGCTCGCATCGTTGAAATGTACCCTTCAACAGAATAACATCAGGGACTTAGCTTGGCCAGCCCATTCTGCAGACTTGAACCCCATCGAACATTTATGGGATAACCTCAAAAGACGAATTAGAGCACGTCAATCACTTCCTTATATACCCAGAGATCTTGAAAGGACTCTTCGTGAAGAATGTGCTAACCTCCAGCAAAGATACATTTCCAGATTGGTAGAAAGTATGCCCAGGCGTCTTCGAGATGTAATTGAGGCGAGAGGAGGAAATACGCGATATTGAAATGTTAATTAAAAATCTAAAACAAATTTTATCTGTCCGTCTTTTTGTTTGTTTGGTTTTTTCATTAGAAATTTACATTTTTTTTACTTTTTTAGACAAAGACTTAATTATTTTAACTTCAAAAAACGTGAAACTTCGATTAATGTATAAAAATATATACAAATGGAGTTATATTACAAGTGGGGTGGAATTTTTTGACTGTCAGTACGCGAAAACATAGAAATCTGGTCACACACTCACCCCAGAGTACTCGATATTCCTCGGAGTGGGGTTGAACTGCCCCTTCCTTACACGCTAAAAAATTACATTCATTCAATTAACATAAATCCAACACAAGCACAACACAAACATGTCACAAACAATAAATATAAAAATCCCTAATGCCCTGAGGTACCGGAATAGCAATCTGTGCCCCAAGACTACGCGCAGGTCTGAGGATATGCCAAAATATTGGCTACTATGTCAAACCATCTATAATTAAAAGTTATTCGACATGTATTTTATCCTTGCATAATGGGAACGTACGCGGTCGTTTTCCTGACAGAAGGCGCCCATGAGATGTACCTAGTAGAATAAAATAATAATATAATAAAAATTTAATCAGGTGTTTATATCGGTCTGACTTGACGTCCTTCGGAATACTCTCATGAACATGTTTTTATTTAAATGTTCACGTAAACTTGTATTTAATGAGACATTACAAAACAGGTTGCACGTATCCTGAGTCAGCAAGACGCTTATTCTAATGAATCTTCTTCAAAACTAATTAACTTTCATTAAATAATATATTTACACCGAGCTTATATAATCGAGGAGTTCTTTTTTCGTGTTATCTTAAAAATTCCACCAGTGAAGAAGAAAAGAACATTGATAATATGTTTGTTATCGATTTTGTTAATAGATAACTAACAACTGGAAAGGCATTCCTCTTCCGGGTTTGGACGACACTCGAAGTCCAACGACGTAAAATAACCACCACACCACGAAAAATAGATAAATAGCGGTTTGTAGTTGAAGATAGCAGTGATGTTAAAATTAATAATTTTAAGCACTAAAAAAAAATCACTTGTTAGAAAAACAAACTAAAATGTTTAAACAGCAAACTAACTACAAATAAAAAATAATTCATAATATTTAGTGGTCTGATTGACAAAAATACTTTTTTTTAATTATGAATCTTCTAATGTAAGGTTTTGGTTGAAATGAAAAAGCTAGCGTCACGAGCTGGATTCGAACCAATGACCTTAGGCTCAATACGCCGCTGCTGTACCACTTGAGCTATCTTGACTTCGATCCACTCGGACACCAACTCCCCATTCATTTCAACCAAAAACCTTACATTAAAAGATTAATTAAATGAAAGAATTAAATTGGTCAATCAGACCACTAAATATAATGGATATAATAAGTAAAACGAAGTATAAAATCACTAAGCTCCCCGTGGCCACTTCATATGTCGCCGAGAATCGAATCATGATTACACGACATTTGAAAAATAGAAAAAAACTGGGAAAATTCGAAAGGTTGTAGGGTGAGATGGGGAGTTGGTGTCCGATAGGTCAAGTCGTTAGAGCAGCGGCGTATGTAGCCGAAGGTCGTGGGTTCGAATCCCGCTCGTGACGCTAGCTTTTTCATTTCAACCAAAACCTTACATAGGAAGATTAATTAATTGAAAGAAATAAAAAATAATACCAATAAAAAATGAAACATCTTTTTAATATAAAACGGTTATGCTTTACAACCCATCCTAGGGAATACAAATGTAAAACTGGTTCCATTTTCGGATAAATGGTGCTAGTGAGCATCAAAATGGATGGGAAATCGGATTTGAAAGCAAAAAGCCGATTGTAACAAAAAGAAGAAATATCTCAGATTTTAAATAAAACCAGATATGTGCGCATATCGTACATAAAAGCAAAACATCCTCTTTTAATTATGCTGAATGTAGCCAGGTGTTTTGCTTTTAACATCGAATTCTCAGATAAGGAAATAATCAGCGATTTGGCCAATTTGACATAGCGAGGTAATATTTCTCTCGAGTTAATAGCACGTTCAAAAGTGTATACACAGATAAAAATTAGGAGGGGAAAAGGTTTTTTTCTAGAAAATAAAAGAGAATCGTCGTCATTAATTTCCAAACGTTGGCTGGAATTGATGAAATTGCCCTTAATTAATACTGCCATATTCATGAATTTAATTAATTGTTATTGATAAATGAGCTATCGAAATTACCCTTATTATGCTTATACTAATGGCCTTTACGGATATCGAAAACCTAATTTCATTTCATAAAGCTGTACTAATTTTTAATGACTCTTTTTCCACTGTTGTTTCTTGCATATATGAAAAGCATTAAAATCTACCAATACACTACAGTTTTTCATTAGAACAATTACATATAAAAACGTATAGAAATGACACAAAGATTTCATGAAAATAGGAAAACTTAATAAATTAGAAATGTACTTTCAGCTAACTGGAAAGTACCGCCAAGAATTTTTCCATCGGCAAAATAATTTACTCTCATGTATGTTTTGTGATTTGAAAGCTTTCGTCGCCAAAGTTAAGAATATTTAAAAGCTACACTCCCGAGCGGTCTTTAAATAAAACATCCCCTTGTTATGCTTCACAACCCTTCCTAGTATATGCAAAGGTAAAATAATATAACGGCGTCGCGTTTTTTATTTTATTTATTTTTCATTTATTAAGCTTTCTAGCTCGTTATTTATATTTGAAAAATTATCTCGTGGAATGTTTTATGTAATCGGTTCCTGACACTTTTAATTTATTAGTACTCATGTCGATTTATTATCTTATTATAAAATAACCCTGAGTTTTCGTAACAGGCCCAAAGGTTCACTCTTTAAAAAATAATTTTAGAAAGTAAAAATTAACTACGTGGACTTACTTTGCGGACAGTAGAGTTAGGCGCGATTCGGGAAGTTACAAGTGATGTCGCCGATGTGTTAGTGGTAATGGGCCGGTTATATTATCTACGAGGCCCCCTCCATCAGAGGTAACGATTTAAATAAATGAAACTGGAGGCAGTTTCCATGGCCTTGGCTGCAGTCGGTTGAACCAATTGGTTTGGTGGGGATCCGGCTCAATTGGACTGGCTTCTTACGGAACTGTACTGAATCCGAACGACCCAAATTTTGCAGACATACCAAAAGGGCAATTACATTAAAAAATCAGGTTTTTCAAATTTGACGTAAAGTATTTTCATAACGATAGGGACTCAATTAAATTCTACTTTTTCGCCCCGTTAAATCATTTACAATAGATATACCTATGGAAAAGTCAAGAAAAGGGGGTCATTTTGTCCATCCACCGTTTCCCCCCATCCCACGGGAGCACATCACCACCGCCACCTGCCAGGTGGACGGTTCTCGAATCCGGGATGTAGGAAGCAGTATATATTTTTTATTTCAGTCCACTTGGTACGTTTAATATTTTGCCGAAATCATCCCTTTAGGTCGAACGGAAGTGACAATATTTCAAACAGAATATCTGATCGAGAAATTGCTTTATCCCCAAGTCGTACTCTGGACATTAAAATGATATACCCGAAGTCCTCCAGAGGGTCACATGTCACATTGGGGTCTTTCATTGATTTGGTACAAGTAAGATCCGCAAATTGCAAGCCCTACCCTAAACAGGACTAAGTGGTGCTGAAGAGTTTATTCTTCTCTGCCCTGGAACGCCACGGCCTCCTCGGGAATGTTGGCGATATGCACCGATTATATCTGCTCTTGTTGGACGTTTCGTATGAAAATTGCCGTTTCTTTTTCACCCTTGCACAATGGCGCTTCGAACGTCATCAGAAGAAATCTTTATTTCCAATCATGCCCCTACTCGGGTTGCTGATTTGGCTAGGCCGCTTTCTCGTTGTGGATAATCGCAGAGTGATCTTTACCTAGCAAAAGACCTCTTCCCACGTTACTAACCTGATAGGTTTTGCTTTTGATTTCGTTTATCAGTTATCCCTACACCTTGTGGCCATCGAGCACCGTGATAGCGCTGAGCTGTCAATGATGATATTGTTTTCTCAGTTTTGAGGGCCTTGGAGTACTCCAACGTCTTTACGATATCGACCACCTCCGTGAATTGTACTGTTATATTTGTTGTTGAAACAAAAAGCTGTTATTTGTCCATCGGTGGCACCCTCAATCCATACAAGCCAGTCAGGCCACAATATGTATTCTGTGCCACAATATGCATCTGTATTTTTGTTAATTCGTGCCAATTGCTAATTTGTCACCAGACAGGTCCCGTGGACAATCGCCTGCAGAAAAGTCAATAGACTTCCCTGGTCACTTCCCAAGATGCTATCAATCTCATCCATTACTCCTAAAGGTTTTTTTTAAATACAGTATGAAAAATATACGATTATTCTCAATTTGAACATTTCCAATCACTTTGATCTATCTACTGGTTTGGTTTATCAGAAACGACTATAAGTTCATCACTCCGAAGACCCCCATAAAGAAAAAGTGTCAAAGAATTGAATGAATGAATGAAAAACTGTTTATTTACAGTATAAACCAAAATACAATAGAGAGAAGAATAACATAACAGTAAATAGAAAATGGAACGAAAAATCGGTCTACCGAAGGTCGCCGTGTTAAAACAAAGAACATTCTGTATGACTCTCAACACGACACACAAGAATGACACATCTACACAAAAAACAAACACTTTGAGCGCAGAAGATGATCTCAATAAAGATCGAAACGTTGTCAAGATAAAGAAAATGGTTTTGTAAAGAAGTGTTTTGTGAAGACACCAGACCTCATCTCACGATTCCATATAATAATTGGCTAACTGTCACTAAACACCATACATAATTAACTCCGTGTCTGCAGCGATTCTTTATGAGTGTCAGATGTGGGGTTTTCAGATGTTCGAAGCAGTGGAAAAGGTCCAGCGATTTTTCTTAAGAAAACGTTTTTCTCTACCAGGTGGTACAACAAATTACCTCATCTATTTAGAAACGCTCACCGATCTACTATTTGTGTTCACTCTCAAGCTGTACTTTTACTTTATCTTCAAGACGCTAGCTTCTCCAGACCCAAAGAACATAACTTGAAATAGTTCGATCAGAGATTTCTTGGTTCTCTGCATAGAAATCACTATTCGCGAAATATGAAATTGGAAAATATCACAAACTGGAGCCCCCAATTTTCGGCTCTTTTGACTCGGATTAATTCCCAATTGACCTGTGCCCCAGCAGTGAATGTGCTGATCGTGCCATGAGCTCGGCGCACCTTTCATTATTTGAAGAGTTAAGGAGTCCTCCAGCCTTATTCGACTGAAGAAGCCCAATTTTACAAGTGGCTTTTTAAAATGCACTGCGAGGTTCTTCAGCAGAACCCGACTTTGTGGAATAGGGGTTAGAAGGGTTTCTGTTCGCTTTGCAATTCGCATCCCCTCGAATCTGTTTTTCATTCCTTGGCAGTGTTCAATTCTGGTTGGGATCCACATGCTTCACCTATAGTCGCTCTGTCAAGGTTTTTCTGGATCTTGGTCTTTCTGGAGGGTTCCAGATCTAGGCCTTTGGTTAGGTTTATGAGGCAGGCTTGGAACTACAGATACGAGCTGACAATTTAATTTTTGATTTTATTAACTGACAAAGAATTATACATTTTCTAAAGCATAAATATTTATTTAGATAACACATTTTCGATACCATATTTTAATATTTCTGAAAATATAATCGGGATAAATCTATTTTGGTTCTAAGCGTTGGTATGACGATTTATATCATAATAATCCATATCATGAGCCGTATTGTTTCGTAGGCAGATGTGTCAAGGTTAAGCATAATGACTTAATTATGTGCTTTTTGGAATTCTAGCGTTTAAAATTGGTTTTACATTGAACACAAAGTGACTTTTAAAAGATTTAAAAACAACAAAAGCGCATTACTAAAAGATGAGATGTTTACAAAGGATTTCGTTTGGTATGAAAGATGGAGAAGTAGGAAGTCCTGTCGGAGGGCGAATGATGTACAGCGAAATAGGACGAGCTGATTGGACAATTAAGTTAAATCAATTGTCCAACCTGTGGAATGCTCGAGACCAACAGGTTGTACCTGTTGATCCTTGAGCCATCTCATTACTGCTTAGTTTATTCTTAAAGTTCTCGACGTGGTAATTTCCCAAGGTAGAAAAAAACTGGAAAAAAGTAGACTTTTAATGAAAAGAAAAAAGTCGAGAAAAACTGTAAAACAACAACGGAATAGATAATTGTTAAGAGGAAAGTTCGACGAAATGTCAATGTCATGAATCTATTTGAATATAAATATATAAAATATTCTTGCTTTTAATGTATAGAGACGCCGTGTAATAAAATTATACGCATCGTACAGGCGATGATGGCCTTCCTAACCGATTGCAGAGGTATAAATAATTACATTTAAATACCAATACCGTCTCGATTTCATAGAAATAAACAGCATGCTTACCAAATAACAGGTTCTCAGGATTCAAAAATTGTCAGCGATGTAGCATAAGTCAGAAATCATATGTGTAAGTTTCTGGCATATGCCTAACCAGGCCAGACAAAAAAAAAGTGTTTTCATTTATGTTCAGCCGGATATTCAAACGCCTTACAAAACAAGGTTTCGATACGGCACAGAATATAAGATTGCTAATGCCTCCCATATTTTCAGAATTAATAATAATTCACAAGTTTCGTGGTCCGCGTGATCAATTAATATCTTACAATTAATTAAGGTTTTCAGTTGAGATAAAAAAGTCAATGGCACGAGCGGGATTCGAACCCACGATCTTCGGCTTGATACGCCGCTGCTCTACCACTTGAGCTATCGTGACCTCGATCCACTCGGACACCAACTTCCCATCTCAACCCCAACTTTTGAATTTTCCCTCCTTTTTGCCATTTTTCAAATGCCGTGTAATCAGGTTGGATTCTCGACAACAAATGTTATTTGAAAAATGGCAAAAAGGAGGGAAAATTCAAATGGTGGGGTTGAGATGGGAAGTTGGTGTCCGAGTGGATCGAGGTCACGATACCTCAAGTAGTAGAGCAGCGGCGTATCAAGACGAAGATCGTGGGTTCGAATCCCGCTCGTGCCTTGACTTTTTTATCTCAACTGAAAACCTTAATTAATTGTAAGATTTTAATAATACTAGTGTTTTATTATTTTTATTACTTTTTATATCAAATATAATATTTAAAAAATTTTAACACAGGCGTGATCTTTAGGCCATCAGCCAAGTTGACTCGCACTGCTTTTTGACGTTTCAAAAGAAACACAACACAAAATAAAAAACTTTTAAAATAACATAATAATAATATAAATAAATTCACTAGTTTTCGTGGTCCGCTTGACCAATCTTTCAATTAATTAAGGTTTTTTTTAGTTGAGATTAAAAGTGACAAAAAGGAGGGAAAATTCAAAGTGTGCGGTTGAGATGGGAAGTTAGTGTCCGGGTGGATCGAAGTCTCGATAGCTCAATGGTAGAGCAGCGGCGTATTTAGCCGAATGTCCTGGGTTCGAATCCCACTCGTGACATTGACTTTTTAACTCAATTAAAAACCTTAATTCCTTGAAAAATATAAATAAAAATGATATGCGCAATACTATAAATGAAGCGTACACATAATAATAAGACTTTATACGACATTAAATTCGTCTGTTCAGTGGATCGGACTCCACTTTGGATTTTGGATCACATGAAAGCAAAAAGAAAACATTTTTTATTAATAATATAAAAATAATACAAATAAAAAATAAACTACAGCATCAATACTGTAATAATAATAAAGGTGTCCCCAATCGATTCAGCCACACATCTTATAGGAAATTGAACGTTGAGTAAAAAAGGTCTTATGAACCTGTGTCCGCAAACTCTTCATTTCCGAGCTACAGGCAAAAAACCATGAAAAACCACGTTTTTTTACCTTATTCGTAAAATTGCTAGTAAACCGTTAGCCTGACCGTAAAACAGCACAAAACAACATCTGTAGAGGATTAATTTCTGCGTCGAATGAGATTAAAACCAG